TTTGACCATAACCTGAGCATTAGAACTGAGACCCTTCAAGTCACCAATACCCGCGTTTTCATTGTCACTCGAGAAGTTCTCCAGAGCATTCACAAGTGTCTTTAGGATGCGGCCCATCCGGTCGACGTCGGTGACTATGCCTATGGAGATGAAGCTTGCGCAGACGTTGACAGCCTCCGAGGCCAACTCGGGAGATGAATCCGCCGCAAATGCCGGTGTCAGGGCGGAGCTGATTTGGGCTTGGTACTGTTCTAGCAGCATCGCTTCTTCGAAGTCTGGGTCTGGTGTCTTGCCAAACATCTTGAGGACTGTGCCGATAATCTTGAGACCCCAGATACGCAGCTCCAAGACGCCCGATGTCGACGCAGAAAAAGCCATGCGCACGACATCCGCAATCTTGTTTTGCAGTGCAAGCTGAGCTTTGGACTCGCCATTTGCTGCCACATCCTTGGCGATAATGGCAAATATGTCGTGGATACAGCTCATGGCAAACGTAGTTACTTGCCAGCGCAGAGGCTCTGCCTCCGCTGCTGTCTCAGCCTTGTCTTCCTTTGCACCTGTCGAAGCGGCGGCAAACCCTGCGGCTTCTTCATCTCGTAAATCAGGCAGCCCGCCTGTCGTAGACCTATTCGCAATCTTCTCTTCCTCTGGCTTGGCTCTCGTCATTTTCAAAACAGCCTGGAAGCGCTGAAGCCATGAAGAGGTCTCGCTCAGAGCTGTCTGATGTAGCCAGTTTCGGATGATATTTCGGATGCCGTCATGAGATGGGTCGGTATCCAGCACCAGCCAAAGTCGGTCCTCGAATCCTTTCTCTGCTTCTCGTAGAACGTCTCTAGGTTCTCGTTTCATGATGTTGTACAATCCATCCACAGCCATGTCTCGTAGGGTTGCGTGCTCGGATGAGAGATACTTCTGCAGCACTTTGACGTAGTCCCCAAAATGCATCTGCCCAGGGGCGTACAAGGATAGATGCTCCAAGCAGCCCAACGCGGCTCCTTCAACGAAGATGTCCTGTTCTTCCTGGAACTGCCCAACCAGCGTAAAGATGAGCTCTCGCGATTTGTTGGCATCTTGAAGATCAGGGCCGAGCACGTTGATGAGCGAATCTACGCATCGTGCAATAGCGGCTGTAGTTGAGAGCTCCATTTCAAAGTTCATCGTAATGGCCGACGATATTTCAGCATGATGCGTCTCCGAAACATAGAGCTGAGCAAGCATTCCCAGGGTGCTCGGCACATAGGTGGCAAAGCTCAATCCAGCAGCATCCGAGGCCAGAGATAATGCCTCAAGAGCCCAATAATGAACTACCGGGTGAGGGTCGTTGCAGAGTGACATCAATATGCCCAGTATTGTCTTCAAGTGATAGCCAGCCGCCATTCCGCCTACCTTGGTTTGGATGGCACCCAGAGCCATTGCGCAGCCTGCTCTAGCGCTGGGCTCTCGATTTCCAACAATGGTGTCAACAAGGTATTTGATTTCCTGGTTTGTAAACGCGTTACCATACACATTGCATAGCCTTGCAACGGCCGCATAGCCGAGGCTGCGGACGTATTGATCAGGGTCGAGGACGAAATCTCTAACGATATCCTGCAATAATCGTTCAACGGCGATATTGCCAACATCTCCGGACGGGGAGCCAGTTTCCTTTACGGCAACTCTCAGTGTGCAGAGAACTGCTGTTGCAAGGTTGGCGTTGATGGCTGCTTTGCGGCCCAGGTCTCGTTGAAGAGAGCCTGCAGACGCAAACGTCCTTATCTGCTCGAGAATGCTTTCCTGAACCTTGGCCGGGGTTAGCGGAAATGCGAAAGCAAACAGCTGAATGGCGTTGTTGATGACTTCGGTAGCTGGAGGATCAGGGTCCGTCGTGCCGTCATCGATACCGCCAATGTACAGCATAGAAGCATCGTGCTCTAGACTGCCGCAGACTGGCGATTGCAGGAGGCCATGAATGAAAGCCTCCGAATCACTCTTTTGAATCTTATCCTCCTGTATGGCGTTCTCATTTTGGCCAGGGAGCGGCTTGACATTGAACCCAGACACAAGGCCGGTGATGCCAAAGCCTGTGTTATCACCAACGTCCCAAATAGACTCAAAGGTGCCGGCAGCATTCGCTATCGACGCGCTCAGTGAGTTGGGCGTATAGTTGTCGGGGTCTGCAAAGAGAGATATCGCAAGAGTCAGGAGATTTGACTGCAAGAGCGCCTCGCTGCCTCCAGCTGGGCTCAGGTTGACTAGTTTGATATAGCACTGCAAAACTCTGCGCTGTACCATTCTGTCCAGATCCTGTAGCTGGAGAGCAGGGGTTAGCCTCTGAGAGATGTCCTCGGTTATTTTCTTCGTTGGTAGCGTCTTTAAGAAGGCTGTTGTGCTTTGGAGCATGGCCGCAATACGTTTGGAGACATCAACCGTGAGGAGCCGATTGTTGAACTGGAGGAAAGACAGAATGGATCCCAGAGCGCATTCTCTCACGTGTGTGAGGAATGACGCTTCAAGAAGACTCCTGGCTGAAGTATTGTCCTTGGCCAGGGGCTTTGGCAGTGCATTCTTCCAGAGCAAGAGCAGCTGGGACAGATGAATCTTGACAAAGTTTGGACCCAAAGACATGAGGCCGCCAATGAGAATCCAAGCCACTTGAATTTGCGTGCTCGAAACTCGAAGCTCTGACTGGCTACTAGATTTAAGCAGATTCGTTGCCATTGTCAAGACTCGGCTGTTGACATCGAGAGAGCCGTGTAATGGACGAGAAGGGCTGGCGCTTAGAGTGGCAGCCAGTCCATGTGCGAATCCAATGCACCGCCTGGGAGAGTTGCGCCCCGTTCCTAGTAGAGTTAATTCTCGGCTGAGGCTGTTCATGCAGACCGAGAGGCAGGGCAACAGCTGCTGAGGGCATGCAAGAACAAATGTCTTCATGCAATGCGACGCAAATACTTGCACCGAATAGCTCGGGTGCTGGAGAACTTGCAGAAGCCCGTCTCGGCAAGCCTCTGCAAAAGTGTTTGCGGCGGAACCAAGAGACTTGATCAATGATGCGACTGCATTCAGAGCAGTGATGAGGGTGTGCTTTTGGGGCTCTGGTCTTTCAGCCAAGGCCTGGGGGTAATTCTTCAGGACGCCGCTGATCAAAGATTCCGCCGCAGATGTCTGGCCAGACTCGCCCAGAATCTTGCGCCCAATTACATCCTGAATGATGACATCCACAATCTTCCTGGATATCAACAAGCGGTAGCGGTTGTTGCTGATGGTTGTGTGGCCGAGAACATCGACGGACAGGCTCTCCACTATACTCAGATAATTGGCCTGTATCGTCTTCTCGCCGAGCCGTCGGAAGAGTTTGCCGTAGCACACTCCAATCGCCGCACGAGTTTTGTTCGTCGTTGCAGCCTTGACATAGTGGCCGGCCAAGATCTTCAAGATATCATGAAATGATAGAGTAAGGTCTTGGCTTCGCCTTGCGCCAGGAGCCGGGCTCGACGAGCGGGAGGGGATCTCGTCGTCATCTCCTGCGATGCCAGGGTGCGTGGATGCTCGCTTCAGTTTCGTCTTGATCTTTTTATTCTTCGCAGCGGCTTCTGTGACGTTGGACTCTGAATATCCTTGAACCAGAGCCTCGGCGAAGCAGCTGGCCATGGCGTTCCGAACCTTTACGGATGATGAATCGGCGGCCTTGAACATTGCCGTCTCCAGCTTGTCGAAATCAGTGGAATTCTTAAAGTATGTGGTGTGTTTCACCAGAGCTTTGAGGCATCGGCACGCAGACGCAACAACGAGAGTTCCCTTGTCACCTGCGGCATGGCTCCTCGCCTGCTTCCAAACATCCCTCGAGATGTATTCATCCATGGACCCCTCGACCATGATGACAATCTTCTCCAAGGCGGTAAACACCACCGCCCTGATTCCTGCGTTGCTCGAGGCCGACTTGAGCAGCTTCAGCAGCGTCGTGCATGCCAGCTGGTGCAGCCCAATGGCGCTGTCTCCAGCAGAGGCAAACACATCGCCCAGGCAACTGACGGCCGCATGCTTTGCGCGCGTCTCGCCATCCGACTTTGTTTTTCCTCCGGCCGCTATCGCAATAAGGTCGTTGATCGTTTCGAACAGCAGCTTCCTGTCGCCCTTGCCGAAAATGTGCGCCAGGCAAGCTCCCAGGTTGTTTCTGATGACTCGGGACGGCTGCGGGGCGGAGAGGTTGATGATCTGGAATATCTCGCGCTTAAGATAGAACTGCTGGGCTGTGCAGTCGTCCGCCGAAAGCCCCAATACGTGCTTCCTCAGCCCCGAGACAAAGGTGAGCAGGAAGAGATCCTGCTGCTCAGCGGGCAGTGCTTGAAGCTTGGGGAGATCAAGCTCGGGGTTGGCAGTGGCAGGATCGACGGCGGTGCTGGTCTGCCCGCTCGCACTGAGAGCTTCGGGCTCCTGGCTCGACGACATGGTGGGAATCCGGCGTCGTCAGAGGGGCCCCGTCTGGTCGTGTAATTTTTCTATATCGCCTCGTCTAGTTCTCGCCTCGTCTCGTCTTCGTAATGATGTCTTTGATAAGGGGACGGCCAGCTATCCAAGTATGATGATGGGCATCGACACTAGCGGTGGTGCAATGGCCAATCAGCAGGCCGCTGTGGCCCTGGATGGGCAGCCTTCCGCCCCAAGCTTCAGGGAAGATTATTAACCCGGCGGATTCCAAGAACATGTCATATTGAATGCCTTAAATTGAAGCCTCGAAGAAGACAAAAAAAAGAGATTGTGAGGCTTTGAAGCGGCTGGGCGGATTTTAGTCTCGTTGCTTATTACTGGGAGGCGTTATAATGAACCCTGCAAGGCCATTCTCGTTTGTGAGGAAGTCTCTTCTGTCTCCCGGCAGTGTTTTATGCCCGTCATGTTCAAGGTCATTTGGAGCAACGGCGTCTCAGTACGCCGGACATAACAAATGGTCCAAAACGAAGCACATCAAGGCGGTGACGGACAAAAAGAAGATGACTGAGCGGGTTTCATTTACAAAGCTCATCACAATGTACTCAAAAAGTGAGTGATGCCAAAGTTCCTCTCACAAGCTCCTAGACGGCTCCCATCTGACATTTGACATGAAAAGTGTATGGTGAGGATGTCAGGTTCAATCCACAGCTAGCAAACGCAGTTGCAGCAGCGACAAAAGGTATGGACGACTTATAGCTCGTTGCTCTCCCTACGCAGACACAAAAAAAAGGGTGTTCATCTAATTCGTAAATTAGCAAGCGTCCCAAAGTCATTGATCGAAGGGGCCATTGCACGAGGCCAGGGCCGCTCTGCAACCGGCGCACAGCTTGAGCCTATGACCATGGAGATTCTCATGCCGCCCAATATTGCTCTGGTTGCTGATATTGAGACGGATAACAAAACACGCAGCTTACACGACCTCAAGTTTGTAGTCAAAAAGGCTGGTGGTCTCGTGGGATCAACAGCCTTTTATTTCTCGAGACGCGGGCGTGCGGTGTTCAAACCTAGGGATGGTGGCCCGTCTCTAACAGACGTACTAGAGGAGGCGATCGAGCACGACGGTACCGAGGATGTCGAAGAGCACCCTGATGGCGGGTACCTGATTTGGACGGAGCCATCCAAGCTCATGGCCATCACCGAGGCCATTTCCAAGCGGTTTGAGCTCGAGGTTGTCGAGTCCGAGATCATGTGGGCTGCGAACGAAGACACCAAGGCCGACGTCGACTCGGCTGAGTTGGTGGAGAGCTTGAATACTTTGCTTTCCGGCCTTAGGGAATATACCGAAGTCAGAGCACTCTTTGCCAACATTCGCCAAGGCACCATCGCGGACGACGAATGGGACAAGCTGGAGAGGCACATTGATATATAAACCACAACATAAACACAAGTCGTATACTGTACAAAAATCACCCCCAAGCTATTAGAGTTGAATTTTTCCTTTCTTAATCCCTCCCCATTTCTTTCAGCCTGAACGCCAATCATGCATTTTGTCCTGTTGTCGCCAATAGCGCCCATCCACACAAATTTGATATAATACAATCGGTTCCCTCCTCATTTGATCGCAAGTCGCCTCGTCGTTGAATTTAAAGACAATATTGAAGCACCATTACGAGCTGCTCTCGTTCCTCTGGGCCTGCTGGGCCTGCTGTCGCTGCTTCTCCTCCAAGAGAGCCTGTCGCAACTTCTGTCGCGCCACAATTCTCTCGTACTCCGCCTTGACTTCCTCTCTATCCTGGGGCAGCTTGTTGCATTCCTCGGGCTTCGGCCAGAAGTCGTTCACAGTGAAGCGATTATCCAAGTTCGTTCCGAAATAGTACATGATCCCGATGGGGAAAAGCAGGTAGGTACCGAACTGTTCCGGAGTGAGCGAGAGTCAGGCAATCGTCGTCATTGCTGGCGGCAAGGAAGCCTACCTTGAAGACTTCGAGATTTAGGCCACCCATGTTGAAGAAGAGATTGCTATTTTGTCGAGAAACTGGCTGGTCAATGCGTGGAAACGTCAATCTCGAAAACTACCGTAGATGCTGTTGGATGACGAGAAGTTTCGCCTAGATGCATTTACACCATAACCTCGATATAGCGGTAGCTGTTCAACCCCGCCAACTCGAACCCCCACACCTCACACCACCCATTGTCTACAAGAATCAGCTGATGGTAGATCTGACCCGGGAGCTGGTTATTGCTGTTACATGGCCGCCTTTATTAAGCATCACATCAATCAGGAAACAATATTACAGTAAAAAATCCCCTATGTGTGTACTAGGGCTTATCCAGACTATGACTATGCGTATACACTTTTGATCGCCCACGAACAAAAAATGCGTGTTTGGTGAATGATGTTTATAATATAACGTCGCCTGGACAGGAGGCCATCCCCAACCGTGCTCATTCTCTCATGAACAAAAACAAAACCACATGAATCCTCGCAAAAGTACAACGCCGTCGAGATTTCCAGTTCCTTAGAATCCAAAACCCGTACCCACAAAGCTTTATGGTAAGCTGAGATAGGAGACCCAACCCTCCCCCGGAGACAAAGACGCCAGTAAGTTCCGTATACCAAGAAGCGCATCACTGCGCGGCTCCATTCCTTTCCCTTTCTGCCTGTGCTTCCTCCATCATGAAACGCTCGGTGAAACTCCGAGGCGTCCCTGTAAAGCCAGGCTGGACAACACTAGCACGGAAGCTGCTGAGGTCTCCCTCATCCATTCCGCTTCGACCGTCTAGGCCGCCCACAAAAGTATTAAATTGGCCCAACGAAGCCGCCCTCGCATGCACCTCTGGGTTGCGAACAACGGGCATGATGACGGGACGGCCTTTGTATGATCCAAGAGACCCAGGTTGAAATCTAGACACGGTGGACATGGCATTCTCTGGCCTGGGCCGCGCAATGGAGACTGCCGGTGATGTTGAATAGAGGGTTGGTTGGCTAGGTCGATCCATATTCGGCACGTCGTCCTGAGATTCGTCGTCGGAAGACTCTTCCTCGTCTGGCGGTAGAGGCGGCCTTTCACGGGGTTTTGGTGGAGCACTTAGACCGCCAGGTTCGAACTCAAACATATCGTCATCGTCGCCATAATCGTCCACGCTTTCATCTTCCACAGCCGCTGGGGTTCTGCTCTCCTTGGGGTTGCTGGAGTCGCTAGTAGACGCCGCAGCTGTGAGTCCATTGCTCACTCTTGCTGCCGGCAATTGAGCCACTGAAACTGAAGCAGGCTTCTGGGTGGCAGAAGTCTTGCGCCTGCCCATGGCGAGATATTCGTCCTCGTCGTCTGAAGAGTCATCCGCATCCTTGCCGTTTTCTGATCCGCGATTGTTGACGTCATTGGACACGATGGATGCTGCATTATCGCCGCGCACAACTCTCACTGAAGGAGTATCTGCTCTTGAATAATTCGCTGTAGATGTGGACTGCTCGATGGAGCCGGGCCTCCCCGGGGTTGGCGTACTCGTACCGTCTTGCTCAGACTTGAGCCTGTCCGAGTCGGGATTGACGACGGTCCAAACAGTACCCTCCTCGGCCGGCGCCCTAGACAAAGCTCTCAGCGCCTCGGTAGAAGAGCTCTTCCGAACTGGGGGCTCCCACTCGTCAATGTCGTCGCCTAATATCATGTCGGAGGCAATTGGCTCGTCTTCCAGTGCGAGTTCCGATACGGCGGGAGTAATGAATTCGACCTGCTGGGGCGATGACGTAGGCAGCACTTCTGCACCCATGAACTCGAACCGGACTCGCCTTGGGCTCTGGGGAGGTTTTGATATACTGGACGAACGTCGCAGAGCACTTCGTCTAGTCTTGGAGTCGCTCTTATCCGAGTTGACGGACGAGGTTGACTCCTCGGTGGTGGTCCTGACGAGGCGGTGCGCCTCGGCTGGAGCCTGAGCGTCTGCCGGAGTCTCGCTGTTGCCTGTGATTGCAAGGCCACCACCCACGGTGATACCAAGATCCGTGGCAGTGCCATTGTCGGCATCTGGTGGTGCCATTACAGGCAGCAATGGGAAGGCGAGCGCCGTCGTCTGTGTCGAGGTTGTCGTGCCCGTTGAGGCGACGGTCGAGGTGGCAACAGGTCTGCGATCGTATGGAGGGGAGCTGTCCAGCAGGGGCAGGTAGCTTGGCGTAAAGAGACCCTGCAACTCCGTCTCCCGCTCGCGCGAGCTGCTACCGCTATTGGGAGCCTCGATACGAGCAGCAGCAACCTCAGGCTCGGGCGCCGGAGGCTGTTGGAATGAAGCCGGGTCAGGTGGTTGTGAGTCAGCGGCAGTGGCCTCCAGCTCGGGTTCCAGCTCTGGGCGGAGTGTCGGGTAGTTGGCAAAGGACGGCGAAATGGCCTGCTGGATGCTGGTTGCGACGCTGGGGTTGACGCCGGTGAGGAGGTCGTGGTAGTAGCGCTGGAAGTCGGAGACCAGGTCGTAGCGGTAGGCAAGCATCTTGCCCTCCAAGTCATCCAGCTTGGTGTGGAGGCTGCTGAGCAACGTCGCCTCCATGGCTAACAAGAGGCTGCAAGCGGACTGGAGCGTGTCAATGGCCTTGATCTGCGCATGACGCTAGGCAGGGCGGGGATCAAAGGCGGCCGCTGGTTTGGAGCCGACAAACTCTATGCACTGGCCAGAACAAGAATCGGTTTGAGTTCCCTCGTTGGAGACGAGATTGAAAAGCACGGCCAGGTGCATGTAGATCTGGGCAGCGAACAAGTGGGTTAACTACATGTATGGGCATTTACATAGCGCGGCCTCTTTTCCCCCACCCTCCGACCTGCCCGTAACCCTGTCTATCCACGCAAAGAAAGAGCTTCTACTACTAGTATTCTCGTTGTTTCTTCCCATAGTGCATCTCGAGATTTCTTCTCCAAGCCCTGTCTACCTACTAAGGTAGGATATGACCAAAAGCCTCGTCTTACGGTAATCGACACTGTCTGCAAGGTTTGGCCTCCGAGAAAGCTGGGCGACGTTGGGCGTTTTGATCCGTTGCCTTGAGGGGGGCTTACGCTAGGCAGATATTAGGTTGGCAATTCAATCGGATATCGTCAAGCCATGGCACCAACCACGCCGATTGTTTGCCTGTCCTGTCATGGTAGCAATAGATAGGCACCTACGGAGTAAAGCAGCAGCAAATCAGCAATGCCGCCTGCTGGTGCCCGCCATCTGCGGTGGAAGGGAAAAGCCTTGGTTTTTGGTAACCTTTGAACTCTTCCACGGCTTTGGACCGGCATGTCTGGATGAGGCAGACCACCATTTCGGACCCCGGATATTCCAGGCTGCTTCCAGACCATCAGAGAGGCCTGAGCCAAGCCCTCCGTGCCCCCCAACAAGGCCTGAGGAGCGTGGGCAAGCGTGGGCAAAGCGTGGGATACAGAGGGGGTTAGGGTGCTGCTCATGCATCATGCTGCAGATCTCCCCCTGTTGGTTCGGTGAGGCGGGCAACCCCTCATCTCTCATCTCTCCTCTATCCGGCAGCACGCGGACAGCCCTGGAGCTTTTGTACAGTCATACAGCCAGGCCGGTGTGTCTGCGGTGCTTGCTTGGCTGCCTTGCGGAGCCCCTTGGGTGCGCACAAGACAGGCCTTGTGTCTTTGTGTGCCACATGCCCGGCGTTTGAACCAAATTGCTCATACCTAAGCCGTACTCGTAGACATCACTCCATGAGCGTAGGCTACGACACCAGACTTGATAACTGAAGCCGGCGAGGGCTGCTCAGGGCTCGTTGATGCTCTGGGCCGGATATGTGCGTATCCGTTCAATGGAATATTGCTAACTACCTAGTGTCTCATGCTCGATGCAACTTAGCTGGCACATGGTGTGTGCATTGTTCTGCCGCTTCCGGACCAATCTGACGTCCTGGACAAGTGCGGTGGTGTCACTTTGCGCCATCAGCTTTGAGGAATGAGCATTAGGGTTACGGAGTAGACACGGCATGTTCCTGGATAAATCGAATAATAGCAAGAATCTTCACTCAGTGTTTACAGTGTCGAGCGGTAAACATGTGAACGAATGCAACAATGGTGGGATTTATCTACTCGGCCCTCACGCATCTGGACTCGAGGTCGAGGTGTCGCTTTGTGGCTGAGGGCCGGCGATCGTTGTACCTGAGAAACCCCTGTGGGTTCAATGCCGATCGTCCTCGGCAGCTCCGTCAACGCTTCAGGTGCTGAAATACATCATGGTCATTGCCCCCTAGGCCTCTGAATGCCCTGTAATGACTAGAAATACAGAGTTGAGTGCTTGATAGCACACAGCAGCTGGCACATTCACGGATGACAATGCCTCGTCTACAGCTCCGGGGGCGTCGTGGCTGGTGCTCAACCTGCTCGCCGATAGCTCACACCGCTTTCCCTATTTTGGACAACCCTGACAAGGTTCCGAAATTCTGCCCATAGCCTCGCTCAGGTTGTGGTGGAGCGTGCCGGCTGCGCGTGCTCGCTCTCGCAAATGTCCCCTTTGGCCATCAGCAACTTTTGACCGAATCCCATCGAGCAGGGAATCCGACGGACGCGGGATTGCTTCACACTCCTCCACTCCATTGCGACTACATCCCCAGCATGTCAACCATTCCAACCTCGGCCCTCCAGTCGGGGTCTCCACCCATCATCCCGCTGCCGTTCAATGCCAAACAGCCCGAGAAGGTAACGCTGTATCCGCTATCCAACTACACATTCGGTGTCAAGGAGACACAGCCTGAGGAGGATCCGTCTGTCATTGCCCGCCTGAAGCGCCTAGAAGAGCACTTTAGTGAACATGGCATGCGCCGCACCTGTGAAGGCATCCTGGTGTGTCACGAGCACAACCACCCCCATATCTTGATGCTGCAGATCGCCAACGCGTTCTTCAAGCTCCCTGGAGACTACCTGCGGCCGGAGGACGACGAGGTTGAAGGATTCAAAGCTCGACTGGATGAAAGGCTTGCGCCGGTGGGCCGATTGGGCGAAGGCGAGGAGGCCGGCGACTGGGAGGTTGGCGAGTGTCTGGCGCAGTTTTGGAGACCAAACTTTGAGACCTTCATGTATCCGTTCATCCCTGCGCACGTTACACGGCCCAAGGAGTGCAAGAAGTTTTACTTTATTCAGCTACCCAAGAGCAGTAGGTTCCTTCCATCTCCGAGCAGGTTGTCGCACATGTTAACTTCGTCCTCCCCCCTTTGCAAAGAGGTGCTCAGCGTGCCCAAGAACATGAAGCTTCTCGCCGTCCCCTTATTCGAACTCTACGACAACACCGCTAGATACGGACCGCAGCTGTCTGCCATCCCACACCTTCTCAGCCGATACAACTTTGAGTTCGTCGATGAGAATGGAGATGTTGTTGCCGCAACCCCCGGCGCAGGCGCCCCCGATGGATATGTGCCCAAGCCCAAGGTCTTGGCTGGCGACGATACGGATATGGTTGAGGAAAATGGAACACATTGATTAAGGTGACTGATATATTGGAAAAAAACATGGCGATGGTGTTTGGCGTATAGGTAAAATGAATGTGTGCAATCTTCAAAGACTACTGGCTGTCTATTTCCATGCAGACCTCCGACTCAATGTCATAGAACTCTTTTTTATGCCTTTTCTCCCTTGTCTCCCTGAATGGTTGCTATTATGTTCCGGCGATGTTTGCTTGTCCTAAACTCCAGGTACCAGATTCCCTGCCATGTTCCAGTGGCCTTGTAAGAATGTTAGTTGGGCATGCTACAGAAAACGAAGGCGGAGCTTTGTCGACTCACGAGTCTGCCGTCCTTGATTGGTATAGTGACACTGGCGCCGATGAGTGCTGATTTGATGTGAGCCTATGCGAGGTTAGATCTCTGACTTGTTATCTATTTATGGCTGAAACTCACCGGCATGTCGTCGGGGCCTTCAGCACTGTTGGAGATGGTATTAGTGCAAAATCTCATGAAGCCAATACCGATGCTACTTACTCATGGCGATACAATGCCTCTCCCTTGACACCAGCTTCTGGCGCAATACGATCAAGAGCGTCACTCATGTCTGCTCTAACATCCTCATCCCCTAAGAGTCCAACATGTCAGACTTTGCATGCGAAAGCTTTACCTTTCAGACAGATATAGAACTGGAAAAAAAGAAAAGGAACTGAAGGAAAGAACACACAGTTCTCATTTAAGCTAAGAGCACAGCTCGTATGCTGAACAAATAGATTCAACAAGCCAACTTTGTATTCCTGAATCTCAGGCAGCGCGGAAACAATCTGATCCGTGATGAGATACGAGCCGCGCGACTTGGCCGGCAGTGCGATTTGCTTCTGGAACCAGGTCATGGTGGCGATGGAATCTGAAGGTGTGGGCGGGGTGAAGAAGATGTAGCCGAGAGGAAGAGTCCAAAGATAGTGAAATGCGTTAGGAAACAAAGATATCATAAACAGTAAAACGAGGAAAATAGTGGTGAGGTCGTTGAGATGCTGAGGCATTCTGTGGCTTCGATGATGTGTGAGGTGGAGACTTTGAAGCTGCAACCTCGCCGCTTTAGTGGGGTTAGTGGTTTTTGGGTGAGTGTGTGTACAAAGTACAGAAACTGGAACAGAACTTTGTGACATCGCTTGGTGTTGCATCTTCAAGTGGTAATTGTATTAAGGAAAATATTGCAGTAATTCGTATTAGCTCAATGGCGAAATGGGAGCGGCAAGCCTAAATAAGCATCACTGCAATTGTATGCATTGCAGCTCACACAATCCATTACACGACATCAGACCCAGAGTGTAGAGCAACTTTACAACCCCTTGTTTTATGTACAATGTGATGGCTTTTTATTTTTCTTTATTTAAACTCTTCATGACTAGTACAAAATAACTTGTGAACCGACCCAAGGCCAATCTATGCCTAGCAGCTCAATAACCCAGATTCCCGCCTTGCTGAAGTAGTCTATTTTAGGGGGTAGGAAGTCTCGGGTAGGGATTCGAGGTGTTTTCGGTGGTGCTCGTTGGCCTATTTGCGTGTTAGCTTTTCCCCAGTGTCCCATTGATTTATATCGAGCAGTCAGGCGTACGAAGGGGGTGCCGCAGTAGTTGCAGGAGGCAATTTCGGGCTTGTCGGTGTTGATGAAGATCCTGGGGTGGCCGGCAGGGCCGCCGCCGCCATCGCACGATACAATCTTGTTGTGAGTCCATGTAACGGGCACCTTGTGCACCAATTCCATAGCTGAATAGGGTTGAGGCTGCCATCACATCAATACTCCGGTCTCACACAGCAAATACCACTCGACGTTTGTACCTGAAGGGAGAAGTCGGTCTGTTCGAATCGAGGACCGGTCATGGCCGTTGATCGAGGCTTCTGGCTTCGAGACCAGATAGCACCACGGTTGGGGGCCTGGCTTATGGCTTTCGAATCGGTCTCAAGGACAGCGGCCGTTTCGCTCGTGCCAGTAACAGGCGCAGATGCCTCGAGTCGGCGGGCAGAGGTGGCAAATGATCGGCTCGGTGCGCGCAGGTTGCGCGTCAGCGCTTGCACCGCTCGCAATTGGGACGAGGCCATGGCTGCGACGTTTACGATGAGATTGTGTGATCCGGACTCGAAGTCGAGCAGCAATTGCCTGGAGTTGAGGTTGGATCTGGAGGTGGGTTGAACGAGCTCCGGAACAAATATTGTCCGAGATCGGCAGCTGCGTGCTGCAGGCGCACGCATCGCGACAAGCTAAGGTTCCCAGCAGTAACTTTTTTTTTCCCTTGGCTCTTGGACGTTTTAGAAAAACTACCTAACATATTCAACGCAGGCATATTCTCTACAACACGACTCGCTTAGCAGAAAGAAGCATAACTGGTCGCCGGCGTTTAGACATTCGCCACAGGGCTTCTTCACGAAGATGGCCGCAGAAACACCCAGAGGAGTCTCCTCGAGACTCCTAACCATGAAGTTCATGCAACGAGCTGTTGCGTCGGCTTCATCTTCGTCGCCACAATCAGACGACAGCTCCCAGAACTCCAAAAAACGAAAGCTCAGACATTCAGCGACCACGGCTGCGGAAGAACGGGTTAGCGCGTTGATAGATCAGGCGTCTATTAAGGCAGCTCTCGAAGACCAGGAGGCAAAACGTCAGGCAGCGCTGGCCCAACACACTGCGACCGGCGCGCATTGGGTTTTGAACACAAAGTTGGATAAATTGAATGCTGGCAGACCTTCAGAACCCTCTTTAAATGTCGTTTATGTTGGTTACGGAGACATCGATTCATCTAACGAGTCTGGTGGCGAAGACGCTCCTCAGAGTGGACGGACCTCGACACGGAAACCCAAGGAAGTCGAGAATCAGGCATGTCCAAGCCTCTCCATCACAGCCTAGAGTATAATTTGTCCCTTGGCTGACATTTAGCAGAAACCAAACTCTGGCAAAGATGACCGGCCAGATGAAGAATCATCTAGTGACGATGAAGACGACGATGACGACTCAGCCCCGAAGCGCAAGAGTAGACGTTTAGATACTGGAGACAGCTCAAGTCGCTCTCAGTCGCGGTCAAGACCTCGATTCAGCGATGAATCTAAAAAGGCCAAAGATTTCCGCGAGAAGCGAAAGAAGAAGGAGGTTCGATTGAACAACATCTCTTCTATATCTGCTGGCGGCGGCGGTGGTAGCTCTGGCAGCCAAGCTTCATTCACCTGCTATGTCTGCAAACAGCCCGGGCACAAAGCAGCCAACTGCCCCAATGGGGCTTCCAGGAGATGATGAAAAATCCTGCCCTTTTGGCCCCATGTTGGTGAGAACGGTTGTGTTCCCATTTATTGCTTATACACATTCTATCCTCAAAGGGATACGTAAATTTCATGAATGCAGAGGCGAGCCTCTCTGATTTATACCCGAACGGCTCATAGACAAATGCTTGCTCCAGTCTGCTTGCACTTTTTCATTTATTTCTTCATCTTAGAAGCTCTGGTCTGTCCAACATACACAATGCCGCCACATGGATGCGCAGCCGAACAATACACAAATTTACCCATGGGTGGCTTCCCTCCCATATAGCATAAACCATATTGCTTATCAAAATAAAATACAATCATATAATATTATAATCATCCATAGACAAGTGAAGCTCATGTACCTACATATGCCATCTCATTTCGCTCTGATCAAGAGACCTACCTACGTGATACACAGCTAATTAATACGCCGTATCTCACATTCTGATTATACTAGAAGGCATTGCTACTGCGGACATGGGTATGATGCTGAAGCTGGTCTGCAGAGGGCACCACTTCTCCCATGCTATCGCAATCCCCATGCAATCTTGGTGGAATACATGATCCTTACAAGATCCAATCGCGGGGTTGAGACGCCATTTCCCTTATCACATACATTCATGCATGCATATCACAATACGAGAGCAATGAGTAATTAATGAAATCTCCCATTACTGTAGGTCACGGCTTTTTTTTAAACCATTCACTGCCTAAGTATCTACGAATAAATGCCAAAAAATACTACATCTCACAGCCTCCCATATCGGCAAGGATACATGAAGAACTCTTAGTGAAGCCTTGGGAACAAGGCAAGTCTACATGTACTCAAGAGTCCGGTTCTTGCTTATCCCAGCTGACGCATCGCAAATGGCGCACTCTATCCAGTTCTGGTGTCTCCGAATTCGAGCCTACAGAGATGATGGCTGTATGTTGGCAATTCACTTTGGAAGTCAATGGCTACTAATCCGGCGGCTACATGCAGCTCAAGGGTCATAGTAAGATCAATGGCTTATTGGCTTATTACTCTTTAAGTGACACTAAGCTCCAGCTGCTACCGCTACCTTCTTCTAGTATCTGCTACTACCTATCTATCGCTAACTTCTTGTAGCATCTGACATGGTAATAGAAGGGAGTAAGAGATAGCTACAAGTGTTGCGCTGTATCACTTCAGGTTGAGATGCGGAATGTCAGATGGCCATTCCCTTCGCTTTCTTGAGACTACCTACTAAACGACTCTCTGCGACAAGGTCTGGATAAGCACTGCCGATACACCGAACGGGACCTGGCTTATGCGAGGCCGTCACACAAGGGAGACTCTCAGCACCCTATCTTATACGGCCTTGATGCGCTTTGCAGCGCGAATGTGTGATCTTCAAAGCCATTTGCGGGGTCCACGATCCTTCGTTGGCAGTCTCTTGTGAAGGATGAATCCACCAGGTTAGCACGCTGTTAGCAACTTTGTCGTACGCAGTCGCCAACTTTGAGCGTCAAATCGGACCACAAAGACGCCCGCAGGAGGGTTACGTACATATTACATGCATACGGATTGCATTCGCGAGCCTGGTAGGTTACCCCAGGTCCAACTGACGGCCAGCATTTAGTAATACTAGTACTATCCTCCTCTCACTTCCCCGCTATATACCAAAGAGCCATGGAGTAGCGGATTCGGACACCACGGCAGCATCCAGCTAGGTCGCTCGTCTAGGAGGCGAAGCCAATAGTGTCAATGAGGAATGGAGCGGCTTTAGCTTGCACAGGCTTCAGTCACCCGTGTGTCAAAAGCTCGACGGTGTTACTGTGTCGCAGCTGAGAAGCGAGCGAGCACACGATCAAAATGTCACGGAATCTCCAGTCCTTAGACTCAGTGCCGGTGGATATGGCACATAAGCCCCTTGACTCGGCTTCGTTCCAAAGCATTGCCCGCTGGCTGTGGAGCTGCGGGCACAACAGACGAAACCCGCGCTGATCAAGGAACCTCTTGCGATGGCCATGGCTCGGCTCGACAACCCTGATGGGCTGGTGGCACCCTCGCAGCCCATAGGATCGTTGACGTGTCAAATAGCCATCTCTTTGCCTTATGCATGGCCGTGGCCTAAGCTCACTGACCCAAGTAAGCAGATCAGATCGCAACCCTGACCTCTGTGTTTAGCGCGCCCCTCTTCACGGAGAGCAAGCAGACATACCCGTACTCGTACCTACTCATACGAGAGCTCGTGCTTGGGGGAGGCTGTGAGCGACCTGCCGAGGGAATCCTCGGCGTCTCTGTACATGTACTCAACGCTCCTGTGGTTGGACAGCCACCCCGCTGTTATCATGCCGTGGGACGTCTGAGCAGAATGTTTGCCCATCACCAAGATGGAAATTGTCAGATACACATTCACGCTGAGACCAACGGCAATCCCTGCTCCGAGGATGACTGTGACCAGGACAAAGCCAACCACTGAACGACTAGTCTAGTGGGAGCTTTGGGAGAGAATCATACTCGTACATCTCCACTGCGAATCCGCGTCCAAGACGGTGGAAACGAGACGGGGGAGCGCCATCTTGTTCCCCACACCCCTTGCAGGACAGGATCACAGAAGCTTCGGCTTTTCACGTCCAGTCTCCTTTGCGGTGCATCATAGACTACTGGGACTGACCCTGCGGAGCCAATGACAGTTGTGTCACCACATCCCGAAGCACAGTCCCAACAAACAACGGCGGCACTCGACCTGCTGGCCCCATGATTTGTCGTCTAGAAATGCCA